AATATTTTTTCCTGTTTTAATATGGAAAATAATATCATAGTATAGTATGATAAAAATGTCATAGTATAGAATGTTAAAAATTTCAAATTTTAGTGTGAAAATTTTTTTCCTGTTTTAATATGGAAAACAATGACATAGTATAGTATGATCAAAATGTCATAGTATAGTATGACATAAATTTCAAATTTTAGTATGAAATTTTTTTTCCTTTTTTAATATGGAAAATAATGTCATAGTATAGTATGATAAAAAATGACATAGTATAGCATGACAAAAAATTCAAATTTTAGTGTGAAAATTTTTTTCCTGTTTTAATATGGAAAATAATATCATAGTATAGTGTGATAAAAATGTCATAGTATAGTATGTTAAAAATTTCAAATTTTAGTGTGAAAATTGTTTTCCTTTTTTAATTTGGAAAATAATGTCATAGTATAGAATGATAAAAATGTCATAGTATAGTATGACATAAATTTCAAATTTTAGTATGAAAATTTTTTTCCTTTTTTAATTTGGAAAATAATGTCATAGTATAGTATGATAAAAAATGACATAGTATAGTATGACAAAAATTTCAAATTTTAGTGTGAAAATTTTTTTCCTGTTTTAATATGGAAAATAATGTCATAGTATAGTATGATAAAAAATGACATAGTATAGCATGACAAAAAATTCAAATTTTAGTGTGAAATTTTTTTCCTGTTTTAATATGGAAAATAATATCATAGTATAGTATGATAAAAATGACATAGTATAGTATGTTAAAAATTTCAAATTTTAGTGTGAAAAACAATTCCTTTTTTGATATGGAAAATAATGTCAAAGTATACTATGATCAAAATGTCATAGTATAGTATGTTAAAAATTTCAAATTTTAGTGTGTCTAAATCTTTCCTATTTCTGTATGAAAAATAATCTCATAGTATAGTATGTTTAAAATTTCAAAGTTAAATTATAAAAAATAATCTCATAGTATAGTTTGTTATATATTTCAAAGCTTTGGTGTGGAAAAAATATATTTCTGTATGAAAAATACTGTCACAGCACATTATGATAAAACTCTGATAGTATAGCATGATTAAAAAACGTACAAGTATTCTAAAGTTGCCAATTAAAGGAACCACACATCGGCCTGTTTTTGGACAGCTAGAGGAAATCAAAGCACCTGGAGTTAACCCACAAATGAGATTATGCAAACTGTGAACAGAAGTGCCTTTACTGGGATTTGAACCCGGGACCTTCTGACTGTGAGACAACAGTGCTAACCACTGCACCACTGCACTGGCCATGTTGTTATGTGGTATAACAATGATCTCATACCATAGTATGTCATAAAACTGTCATAGCATGGCATGTTTAAAGAAAACAGTCATAGTATAGTACGACTGTATGATAAAAATTTCATAGTGTTGTATAATATAATTGTCATAGTATAGTATGTTGAAAAAATTTCATAGTATAGTATGACAAAAATTTCAAATTTTAATGTGTGAAAATAAAATTCCTTTTTTGATATGAAAAATAATTTCATAGTATAGTATGATAAAAATGTCATAGTATAGTATGACAAAAATTTCAAATTTTAGTGTGAAAATTTTTTTCCTTTTTTAATTTGGAAAATAATGTCATAGTATAGTATGATCAAAATGTCATAGTATAGTATGACAAAAATTTCAAATTTTAGTGTGAAAATTTTTTTCCTTTTTTAATATGGAAAATAATGTCATAGTATAGTATGATAAAAATGTCATAGTATAGTATGACAAAAATTTCAAATTTTAGTGTGAAAAAAAAATGCTATTTTTTTATTGAAAATAATGTCACAGTATAGTATGATAAAAATGTCACAGTATAGTATGATAAAAATGTCACAGTATAGTATGTTAAAATTTTCAAATTTAAGTGTAAAAAATATTTTCCTTTTTTAATATGGAAAATAATGTCATAGTATAGTATGATAAAAATGTCATAGTATAGTATGTTAAAAATTTCAAATTTAAGTGTGAAAATTTTTTTCCTTTTTTAATATTGAAAATAATGTCGTAGTACAGTATGATAAAAATGTCATTGTATAGTATGGTAAAAATTTCAAATTTAAGTGTGAATTTTTTTTTTCCTTTTTTAATATGGAAAATAATATCATAGTATAGTATGATAAAAATGTCATAGTATAGTATGTTAAAAATTTCAACTTTAAGTGTGAAAATAAAAATCCTTTTTTGATATGAAAAAAAATGTCATAGTATAGTATGATAAAAATGTCATAGTATAGTATGACAAAAATTTCTAATTTTAGTGTGAAATTTTTTTTCCTTTTTTAATATTGAAAATAATGTCATAGTATAGTATGATCAAAATGTCATAGTATAGTATGACATAAAATTCAAATTTTAGTGTGAAAATCTTTTTCCTTTTTTAATTTGGAAAATAATGTCATAGTATAGTATGATAAAAATGACATAGTATAGTATGACAAAAATTTCTAATTTTAGTGTGAAATTTTTTTTCCTTTTTTAATATGGAAAATAATATCATAGTATAGTATGATCAAAATGTCATAGTATAGTATGTTAAAAATTTCAAATTTTAGTGTGAAATTTTTTTTCCTGTTTTAATTTGGAAAATAATGTCATAGTATAGTATGATCAAAATGTCATAGTATAGTATGTTAAAAATTTCAAATTTTAGTGTGAAATTTTTTTTCCTTTTTTAATATGGAAAATAATGTCATAGTATAGTATGATAAAAAATGACATAGTATAGCATGACAAAAAATTCAAATTTTAGTGTGAAATTCTTTTTCCTGTTTTAATATGAAAAATAATATCATAGTATAGTATGATAAAAATGTCATAGTATAGTATGTTAAAAATTTCAAATTTTAGTGTGAAAGAAAAATTCCTTTTTGATATGAAAAATAATTTCATAGTATAGTATGATAAAAATGTCATAGTGTAGTATGACAAAAATTTCAAATTTTAGTGTGAAAATTTTTTTCCTTTTTTAATATGGAAAATAATGTCATAGTATAGTATGATCAAAATGTCATAGTATAGTATGACAAAAATTTCAAATTTTAGTGTGAAAAAAAATTCCTTTTTTGATATGAAAAATAATGTCATAGTATAGTATGATCAAAATGTCATAGTATAGTATGACAAAAA